ACACACCTGTTATCCCAGCTACCCAGGTGGCTGAGGCAAGACAATCATTTTAACCTGGGAGCCGTAGGTTGCAGTGAGGCAAGACTGTGCCACTGCACTCCAGCCTGAGTGACAGAACAAGACTCTGTCTTAAAAAAAAAAAAAAAAAGACTTCTTAAGAAGCTTAACTTAGGAAGCTCACTGCCCCTTTAGAAAATTATTTTACAGAGGAAAACACAGTAGATAAAATTATTCAAAAATACTAAGATAAATATTTTCACTTGATTCTAATTGTTGCCACCTACTAGAGAGATGCACAAATATATGCATGCATCAGCCCAGGTTTTGACTGAATAGACACATGTACATGCCTCACCGAAGATTATGACCAAAGAAGAATCACAGAATTCATGAAGGTAGTGGGGTTGGGGGGTGGGGGGGTAACCCAATGCTACAAATGAAGACAAATGAAGTTTCTTGCTTCTTCTCAACTCTATCTTCTTGTTTTTTGGTTTTTTTTCTTCCTTCTTTCAGCCAAAAGCCTCATTTTACTCTTGTTTTTGAGTAGTATTTTTGCTAGGCACAGAATTCGAGGTGGATAGTTTTTTCCTTTCAGCGTTTTGAAGAAGTTTCTTCACTACCCCTTAAAATGTTTACTAAGAGAAATCGGTTGCTGTGCTTAACTCTGTTTTTCTGGTGAATGTTCTTTTCTTTTTTGAAAAAATCCAGCTGATTTTAAGATACTCTCCTCATCTCTGGTGTAAAAAAGAAACCCTAAGATGGCCCCATGGTTCCATCTCCTTGTATTCATGCCCTGTGTAATCCCTCCCTCTTGAGTGTGGACAAGAACAGCTCCTTGCTTCTAAAATGTAGAATACAGAAAAGGTGACAAAATGTATGTGATTACATTACATAAGATGGTATCACCTTGCCATGCAAGGAGATTCCCTTTGCTGGCTTTAAGGATGTAGGGAGACATATTGGAAAGGTTCATGTGGCAATGAAATGAGGGTGGCCTCTGGGCAACACCAAGCCAGAAACTAAAGCCTTTAGCCCAACAGCCCATAAAGAACTATATGCTACAAACAACCATGTGAGCTTGGGAGCAGATTTCTCCCCAACTGACCCTCAGTTAAGATCACAGCCCTGACATAATCATGATGTTTCTCCAGTAGGCTGGTGGGAACAGGTACTATTTCTGGCCTTTTGTGAGCAATGAGCATGATTTCCTTTGTTACAATTTGGATATGGTTTATTTGACTGCACTAAGTCTCACATTGAAATCTGATCCCCAATGTTGGATGGGGGTTCTGGTGAGAGGTGTTTGGATTGTGTGGCAAATCCTTCATGAATGGCACCAAGCCACTCACATGGGAGTAAAGGAGTTTTCACTCTTAGTTCTCACAAGAACTGGTTGTTGAAAGAGCCTGACACCTTCCTCCCCTCCTTCTCTTGCTCTTTTCTCAACATGCGATCTCCACAGTCCAGGTCACTTCACTTTTCACCATAAGTGGAAGGAACCCAAGTGCCTCAGCAGAAGCAGATGTTGGGGGAATACTTCTTATACTGCCTTCAGAACCATGACCCAAATAAAACCCTTTTATATAGAAATTACCCAGCCTCAGGTATACCTTAATAGCAACACTAACAAAAATACCTTCAAACCTTCTCAGATGGTTCTTTCTCCAGCATGTATGTGTTAATCTGAATAATCAAGTGAAACCCTCTACAGACATCTAAAATTCTCTCTTGGAGAAGCTTTCTTCATTTCAGTATTGTGTCCTTTATTTACCCAGAAGCTTACCTCCATCTCCTCAAATCAAGAGGTCCGCCGGACCACTCTGGATTCCTCCTCCTTACACCAAGGTCTAGAAACTATTTCAAGGATTTAAGCTGAGGATGTCATAGCCCCCCCACCCCCTTCATTTGGTTCCCTTCTGTCAGGAACCAATGTCCCTCATTGCTAAATGTCCAGTGTCTTGAAAATCATATTTTCACAGATTTTGCCCATTTGTTTGTTGCAGATGAAAATGTAAATTCAGTTCCTGTTACTTCATATTGGTTGGAACCAGAAGTCTTCCAACAAATACATTTAACCACTGATATGCTTTGGCTGTGTCCCTACCCAAATCTCATCTTGAATTGTAGCTCCTATAATCCCCACATGTTGTGGGAGGGACCCAGTGGGAGGTAACTGAATCACTGGGGCAGGATTTTCCCATGCTATTCTCATGACAGTGAATAAGTCTCATGAGATCTGATGGTTTTATAAAGGGCAGTTCCCCTACACACACACTCTTGCCTGGTGCTATGTAAGGCATGCCTTTACTCTTCCTCCTTTGCCTTCTCTATCATGATTATGTGGCCTCTCCAACCATATGGAACTGTGAGTCCATTAAACCTCTTTTTCTTTATAAATTACCCAGTCTCAGGTATTTCTTCATAGCAGTATGAAAATGGACTAATACAACCACAGCAGTAAAACCAAAACCAGTGAGGGAATCAGGATAATAAAACACAACACAAAAGGTATTTGCTGTGACCATGTAGACATAATCCAACTGGGCAGGGGACCAGAAAGTAAAAGAAATTTTGGAGATACAGTAGACTCACCTATGGCATTAACCATATAATATAGGTGGGAGTCTTTGGATACAATTTAAAACTGAACAAATCAATCAAGAGAAGTATCTGCATATTTAAAGAGCATACAGGTAAGAAAAAATATATGAAAGATAATGTAGACTAAAATAAGATGGCAGCAAAGGAACAAAGAACAAGAAAGTGAGAACACATTAATCTTACCACCCTGTTCATTAGATAGAACTAATAGATACTACCTCAAGAAATAGAGAACCTAGGTTATAACTATAAAAGTAATCAATACGGGGAAAAAGTAAACCTTCCTAACATCAAAAGAACTATACTTAGACACACAAAAGTCTACCCCAAAATTTTTTTTTACCTGCCTATCTCGGAGGAAGTAGAGAATCTAAAACAGCAGAGTTCCATAAGAGATACAGAAAAGGTTACCACCCACAAAGGGAACCACCTTCACCACCACTATCCCTGCCCTCCAAATAAGACACAAAACTCACATGGTATCACAAAGGAATTCTACCAAATGTTTAAAGGACAGATAAGTCCCTTCCTTCCTCCTTCTTTTATTTATTTATTTATTTATTTATTTACATATATATATAGAGAGAGAGAGACAGAGTCTCGCTCTGTCACCCATGTTGGAGTGCAGTGGCGTGATCTCGGCTCACTGCAACCTCCACCTCCCGGGTTCAAGCAATTCTCCCGCCTCAGCCTCCCAAGTAGCTGGAATCACAAAGGCTCACCACCATGTTCGGCTAGTTTTTGCATTTTTAGTAGAGATGGGGTTTCACCATGTTGGCCAGGCTGGTCTTGAACTCCTGACCTCAAGTGATCCACCTGCCTCGGCCTCTGAAAGTGCTGAAATTACTTTCAGAGGCCGAGGTGTGAGCCACCATGCCCGGCCTAGGCCAAGGTGTGAGCCACCATGCCCGGCCTAAGTCCATTTCTACTTAAACTGCTATAGTGAAGTATGGGGTAATGAGAACTTCAATATTATTTTATTGTTATAAAGTAAGTATAACAAGACCAATACACAACAAGATAATCTCACTTATAATTAGATGCCAAAATCTTAAATAAATACTATCAAACAGAATCTAGCCAGGAAATGAAAACAGAGTAAGACATCATAAACAAGTTATCCTTTTCTGAAAAATACAATTACAGTTCATTATTAATAAAATAATTTGCAAGTTTCATCATTTTAATAGCTCTAAAGAGAAAAACAATCACATGATCATGAGAACGCATTTAACCAAATGTAACAACTACTCATGAACTCATGATTTTTTAAGTGAACAAAATTTTTATTCTTTTCAATTTTGTTTTGTTTTTGTTTATTTTTTGAGACGTAGTCTTGCTCTTTCACCCAGGCTGGAGGGCAGTGGTGCGATCTTGGCTCACTGCAATCTCCACCTCCCATTCTCCTGCCTCAGCCTCCTGAGTGCTGGGATCACAGGCGTGCGCCACCATGCCCGGCTAATTTTTGTATTTTTAGTAGAGACAGGGTTTCACCATGTTGGTCAGGCTGGTCTCGAATTCCCGACCTCGTGATCTGCCCGCCTCGGCCTCCCAAAGTGCTGGGATTACGGCCGTGAGCCATTGTGCCTGGCCAAAATTCTTATTCTTAAAATATGAAGATGAACTTTTTTTTTACTCTAATAAAATATGTACAGTTCGACTCAAAAGCCAATATCATACTTGGGAAGAAACATTAAAGTCAGCAACAAGACAAAAAGTCTTATCACCACTATAATTCAGCACTGTACTGCAATTACTAGGCAACAAAATTAGGCAAGTAAAAAAAATCTAAGGTATAAAAACTGGAAAGAAATACGTAAAATTATCAATATTTTTAGATATTAGAAAGTTCAGTACCATCATCCAAAAAAATCATTCATTACAATTACAGAATTTGGTAAGCTGATAATGCACAAAATTAATATGTTGCATATATGTATGTATGTCAGCATTTAAAGAAGATTACATAAATAAGTTTTTTAAACGGACAAGGCCTATATGAAGAAAATGTTAAAGTACTATCAAAGGAATCACAAAGATGACTTGACTAAATGGAAAGCTGTACCATCTCCTTGGACACTGTACTAGTCTGTTCTCACACTGCTATAAAGAAATACCCAAGACTGGGTAATTTACAAAGAAAAGTGGTTTAATTGGCTCACAGTTTCACAGGCTATACAGGAAGCATGGCTGCGGAGGCCTCAGGAAACTTACAATCATGGCGGAAGGTAAAGGGGAAGTAGGCACGTCTTACGTGGTCAGAGCGGGACAAAGAGAGAGAGTCGTGGGAGGTACCAGACACTTTTAAACAGCCAGATTTCATAAGAATTCTATCACAAGAACAGCACCAAAAGGGAAAATCCACCTCCATGATCCAATCACCTCCCACCAGACCTCACCTCCAACACTGGTGATTACAATTTCACATGAGATTTGGGCAAGGCATAAATCCAAACCATATCCAGACATGAAGAGACAACATGTGAAGACATCAATTCTCTTTATCTTGATCCCAATTAAAATAAATAAATAAATAAATAGGTTGTTTGTATTTTAAACTAGACAAACTGATTCTAATTTTCATAGCCGAAGACTATGAAAAACAATAGCCAAGTAAACTCTGTGGGGTTAGGGGGTAGTCAATTGGAGATGAAGACTAACCCCACTAGACATTAAAGAATATTTTAAAATCTCAAAAATATAAAGTATAATACTAGTTCAAATATTAACATGCTTATACGAAGGCAAAGTCTAGAAACAGATATAAATCCATACGAGGAGCTGGCATGTGGTAAAGGTAGCTCCTCAAATCAGAGATGAACAACTCAACTGAGTTGTTGAGTAAACTTGGTAGACATCTGGAGGAAAAACAAACTGGGATCTAAGCTGGCATGCACCAGGGCAAATTTCAAATTATCCAAATGCTTCAATGTAAAAAACTTAACCAAAGAAGTACTAAAAGGATTAATATGCCCCAGAAAATCAGTTGCATATATGTCATAGTTTGCTATCCAATGCAAATAAGTGAGCCACAAATGTGAACAATATATGCAATTTTCAATTTTCTAGTAGCCAGTGAAATTTTCCAGTAGTCATTAAAAAATAAAACTGAAACAGGTAAGATTATAATTTTAACATTATCAACATAATATAAAAATTACATTTTACATTCCTTATTAGAAATAAATCTTTTAAATTTAGGATATATTTTTACAATTATAATACATCTAGTTCAGACTAGCCTCATTTCAAGTGCCCAATAACCCCATACTAATTAGCACACTCCTAAGAAGTGCAAACTAAGCTCCACAAACGTAGGGAACAGGGCTATGTTGTTCACCACTGTTTACCCAGCGCTCGCACAGTTCCTGGATATATTTTCATGACAGCGAGGAGGAAAGAAGTGAGGAACGGATCCTATTTGAGAAACAAAGTCATTTCCTATATTAGAAGCCTAGGGTTCAAGTCTTGACTCTAAAATTTCCTAGTGGGTAACTTGAGCAAATCACTTTTCTGAACCTGATCTGTAAAAGGAGATTCTTCATGCCTATCCACCATTTTGGGTTGCTATCAGGATCAAATGAGATGACACACACATAAGCAATCAGTGAGGCACTTTATAAATGTTACCTATCATTACTAATACAAAGAGCTCTGTCTCTGTGGTCACTATTTCGAGAGGATGCTATCTTTCTGTTTTGATTACTATAGTCCATCCACCCTTCACCTGTGAAAATGCAGGTTGACACTATATCATGTTGGTCCATGCTCTATCCCTGGAAGACTGTTATTTTGATTTGTAAATTTGTGCTCAATACTTTATTCTCTATTTCAGCTGCCTCCCAATGGAAACCTCTCTCCTTTCACTTGACAAAGGGAGGCTTTCCCTAGGCATCTCATACTCTTGTATCCTGCTGGGCTCCACATGGCCTGCAGCACCTACCCTATACGATAATTCTATTCATCCCCTCAGGTAGGCCAGGAACCAGTTACAATGAAAGCCAGAAAAGCAACGCCAGGATGTTCCTCAGAGAGATTTAGGGAAAGTAAAAAGGGTTGGATACTAGAAATAATCAACTGAAGCCAGAAGAAGAGTCACCAAGGAGCTTCTTTTCAGGAAGCTGGATCCAGGCTTGTTGCATTTTCAATGCTGACTTCCTTCATACCAAAAGGTTAACCTAGTCCCATTCTCATCTCTCCTGTTTCCTAATTTGTAATTTCTGATTCTCTGGTAAAAACGAGAGTTAGAGAAACTCGTTACTTTCCCATAAAGCTTCTTTGATTATTTAAATCATTAAAGCTAGCATTTTGAGTATGTGAGTTAAAAAATAGGAATACTTACATTTAATCAAGTCTTTCAGATTACCCTCAACTAGAATTGAGTCCCTGAGCAAAAATAAAAACCTCCTTGATTGAGGTCACTTAGACAGCAAGAGTACCTGTGTAATTTCTGAGTGAAACAATTCTCTCACCTGCGGATGAAACAGGATATTCCTTTACTGACAGTACAGTAGAAGGAGCATAAACCTGGGTTTTTCTACTGCCTAACACTGAAAAGTGGCCAAACTTTGCACAAATAACTTAATCTCTCAGTATATTTCCATATGTTAATCGAATATAATTACGCTTTGCTTGCTCAATTGTTTTGACAATATTCACTGCCACTCCGTATGCAGGCTAGAACATGAATGCCAGCCCTCCAAATATTTTCATGTTTAACCTTGATTTTCTAATGTGATTTAGATACATTTTTCCACACCAAGAGCATGACATAATTAAGCCCAATGTTCCTAAAAGCAGCTAATAGTAGAAACATGAACCATCCTTCTACCCTGTGCATTTATGAGCACAGAGGAAATTGGTTCTGAATATCTTCATGAGTTGGGACCAGGATACCGGGCTCACCTCAAAGGTGAGGTAGTCCTGATGCAAAGAGAAAGGCCTAAGATACACTAGACAAGAGCTGCTTGCAAAACTCAAGAAGTATAGTTAGGTCACAGCTACTTAGTCTTCCACATTTATTGAAAGGGCTAAATTTTAAAAAATAAGGGTCTCAGTGCTGTTTCTGCAACTTGCATACAGGTTTCCTGGATAAAACTCCTAAGAGGGACTTAGTACTTCAAGTTTCCTATGAAGAAGGTCTTTGTTTCTACCAAGTCCTTAAGAATAATTTTAAAGCAAAAAGAATAATGTCATACGGAATTTTGTAGTTTGTTGTTGTGAAGGTGTATCCCTATGTTTCTTTGGGAAAATAATTTATTTTACTGTTCTCATTCCCAGTGTTTGGCTAGAGGAGCATAAAGTAAGGAATATTACTCAGTAGATGCATTCTGATGAATATGAAAACAACAGTGGAACAAAGAGAAAAAAACAGGTAATCTTAAGGCCACAGATAAATGACCATATCCAAGTCAGAATTCCTTAAGGGAAGCCAAAAATGTACTGAAAGCTCGCTGTTTGTTTCACTTTTTCTCTACCTTTTTTTTCTCCTCTTCAGTTAAAAGATATGCAATTTGATTGATAGTATTTTTTCCACATTGGTGACATTTTAAATGGAAACCAAGATTTTTTGGGGGTGGTTGTAATAGCTCGATGAAATCTTTCACATGTGCCAAAATGTTTCATTAATATAAGTCAGCCAAATAATCTTCTTGCTTTGTAAAAATATTTCTCCTTTAGAAAACGCTTTCTGAACTGTTAAAAAATTAGAGTATTCAGAGTTTAGCTACCAATATATGTATTATTTACTATTATTTACCAATATATGTATTATTACTAACATTTTATCCCTATTTCCTCAAAGCAAACAGTAAAGATGGTATGTTTTTGACGAAGCTAAATAGGAAGTTCTCAAAATTTTTGTGTCAAGTAATTACAATTTTAAATCCAATAATTTTAGGTTTGATCAAGTTGATGTGTTTCACATTTCTAAAAAACGGCTTGTATCTTTGTTAAGGGCCAGGTAGCTGTTGCCTTTAAGTTTGTTATATTTAGGTCCGACTGGCCAATGATTAGTATGGAATCTCTTTTAATCTGTATATTGGTTTTCCTAGTTGAAGTGAGGAGGTAGTTCATGTATGAAGTGTTTGATCAGTTGTAGCAATAAATATGTATGATAAAGTAGAAAAATTGTCTTTCATTCAACAGAAAATTACACATTTACCATTAAAACAGAAAACTATAGTGATGTGCTGGAGGTGACAAATTGGGGAACCTTAACTAAATTAAAGGGAAATTTCCATAACAGATTCACTAGTAATGCTGATTTAATAACGATTTCCTGTCATGAGCTATATTTATCATATACCACCCCTCTGACATGACATTGTATTTAATGTTTTTGAGAGCCATGTTTTAATCAGATTAAACTCAAGGAAACAGATAGGTATCTGTGTTGCTCTTAGCTTTAGCTTCTGTTTCTTATTTAGTCACAAGACTATTATTGCTGGAATCTTTATAAACACATTTGCTGGGATTGCAACAGGAGTGCAGCTTATGTTGTGAAGTCAGAAAAATGTGTGCCAGTGGTTTTCATGATCTACGCACAGAGTGCATTACAGAATTATTTAATAAATTAAAGACAACTAATGCAAAATGTGTTCCTTTCTCCCACGGGATTAAGCATCTAAAAATATAATTTATTTTTAGATTCAAAAAATAGTTTCTTAGGAACTAAGTAACCAAGAAGAATGTTCAAAGAAAAGTTGGTACAATATTCATTATTCAAATGTATTTACATAAAACTAAAATCACTAATAAGCTCAATGTTCTTAAAACTAATTTAACTGGTAAGAAATAATAATTTTAATAACTTGGCCAGGCACGGTGTCTCACGCCTGTAATCTCAGCACTTTGGAATGCTGAGTTTGGTGAATCACTTTGAGCCCAGGAGTTCGAGACCAGTCTGGGCAACATGGTGAAACTTCACCTCTGCTAAAAATACAAAAATTAGCTGGGTGTGGTAGCGCAAGCCTGTAGTCTCAGCTACTTGGGAGGCTGAGGAAGGAGGATCAGTTGAGCCCAGGAGACAGAGGCTGCAGTGAGCTTAGATCATGCCACTGCACTCTAGCCTGGGCAACAGAGTAAGACCCTATTTCAAAAATAAACAAACAAATAAATAAATAAATAAATAACTTATGTAACAGTTATGACATTACATTACTTAAAATGCAACATTCTAATAGCATTAGTGAACATATCAAGTTAAATACATGAAGAGCTCTATGGGTCAAATATGCCCTCCTTCAAATTCAAACTCTGAAAAAAGTGCTCTGTGGCCCAAGATCTCCCATGGCAGATAAGCTAGTAACAATCCAAAAGTACCAAACTTAGCAATACATAAGGGTTAAGTCATACATTAAAATTCAGTAAGTGTTAAAAGTGGAAATTAGGAAATAAAAGAGAATTAAAAAAAAAAAAAAGTAAAAACTGGCCTTTAACATTCCAGTCCACAACACATGAAAAATGTTCAGACTTAAATTGACTACATAGTACATGCAACATGCAAAATCATTTTAGTGTAGCTATAATAATACATATTTTTTCATCCATATAAATTGTCTATCTTTTCTTAAAATAGATAATTATAAAACAATTTACTCAGTAAGTATCTGTGACTTAAAAGCTTCCTCTTTAGAATACCTTAAAAGTGGTTGGGCATGGTGGCTCAAGCCTGTAATTCCAGCACTTTGGGAGGCCAAGGTGGGTGGATTACCTGAGGTCAACAGTGCGAGACCAGCCTGGCCAACATGGTGAAACTCCATCTCTACTAAAAATACAAAAGAAATTAGCCAGTTGTGGTGGTGTACATCTGTAATTCCAGTTACTTGAGAGGCTGAGGCAGGAGAATCGCTTGAACCAGGGAGGCGGAGTTTGCAGTGAGCCAAGATCATACCACTGAACTCCAGCCTGAGCAACAGAGTGAGACTCTGTTTCAAAAAAAAAAAAAAAGGAATACCTTAAAAGTGCTGCAGGGCATGCTTTATAGGCACTGATTAGTTAGCAGGCTGTAATCAAGTGAACCAGTACTAAAAACTATTGAGTAGCATCCACAGCAAGTTATCAGGTACATTTTTATTAAGTGTGTGTGTGTTGTGTATATACACACACATATATGTATATATATGTATATATGTGTGTATATATGTATATACATATATATGTGTATATATACACACACATATATATATAATGAGAAAAGAGAATATTCTTCAATTGTCCATCACAAGAATAGGAAATATATGAAACTATTATTAAGCAATACTTTAAAAGATTTCTATAGAAGGTTTTCTTGTAAGCATTATAATGCAATATCTGAGTCTAAGAAGCCTAAGAAAAATTAGTCCCTCTTATTAGTGAGATTCATTTTAATATTTCTGAGTTTACATATAGTTTCGGCCTACACTCTTTTTGGTTAATATTGATAAAATATTTTATTAACAATTTAGAGGTTGGGTTTCAGGTGAGCAGAATAAATACACTATGTTTATAAGCAATAAGATATACTTTTAAATCAACTTTTAAAATTTCACTGGATCTTTCAACATTTGTTTGAAATCCTTACAAGATATTCATCTATTTGTGGCATCATATAGGTCTGTCTCCCCATCTGTCTATGTTTTTCATGAAGACTAGTATCTGGTACATGTTTTTTTCCTTCCCCACTTTAGTAGCTATTCATTGGCCCACTACTATGCCATTTCTGTAATACTTGTCCAACAGTTTTCATCAATCATTTTTTAATAAAACATAAGCTTTCTTTTACAGGACAAGGGGACATGTAATCAATGTATTTAATTCTGACTAAATTTCATTCTATATAGCTAGAAATTTAATGTCATCAAAATCTATTATTGTCACAATAAATAATCACATTATAGTATAATACTAAAATCTATAGGGCTGAATTTTTTAAGAGCAATATATATATGGTTATTCATCTAGCCTTTTAGTCTTATCTTCCCAAAAGTAACTTTCTTACATTATGTGGCCAGATTTGTTAAGGAATTCACATCCTGCATGTGCGGACATCTTGAAGAATCCTTTTTTAACAGGATATCCTAACAACACCTCCCCACCCCCAACCAACTTGGTAGCCTGACTCTAGCACAGACTCATCTGGTTTGACTAAAATCATTGAACTACTTGGCAGTGGTTTCTTCATACGTGGCGCTTAGAGCTCATTGAAGCTCAAACAGTACAGGAAATGCAAATCATGCAAACCACCCT